TTAAAATTAATTAAAATTAAAATAATAAATATAAAATTTTATTTTATAAATTTAATATTAAATTTAATGAGTATTAATATTTTTTAATATCTTACCATTTATTATAATTATATCTTTTTCAGGGATTTGTATATCATCTAATAAGCACAATAACAGAATGGATATTGGTTATGGGATTTGATTTCTTCTTCCTAACATTTGTTCGGGAACTACGGCATATATCACTTCTGTCACCACAGGTCTATAATAATTTAATCAATGTTTCATTAATGAACAATTAAACCTTTAATACAGTTATTTTTTTTATAAATTTGCAATTATTTTGTTAGCATTGTAAGATATATTATAAATTCTAGCTATGAATAAAATATTTCAATAAAAACATTTATAAAAATGATAACTTTAATAGGCGATAAAAACATTGTAATAGTTTTTAAATTATAAATAATTACATCATCTTAATAATACAATTGAAAATACATAGAAATAGCAATAAAGTTCAAATAATATCTTTTTGAATTATCTTTCAACATATTTAAAAAAAACTTTCAATGTAAATGTTGAAAACATTTTAACATTTAATTTTTATTAACAACTGTGTGTGTGTGTATGTGTATGCATGTGTGTGTGTATATATATATTATATATTTTGTAAAGAGAATGCCTTTCTTATCTAACTTCAGTTTTACATTTTAAAAATTGTAAAAAAATAATTTAATTTATGAAGGGTGATAGTTTTTGGAATCTTCAAACAGTTGTCTGCTTGAAGAGTGGGGTACTAACTGTTGATTTTATCATGTTGATTCCAAGGAGTTATTTTAATGCTTTATATGTAACCTTTTAGTTTATTTGTGTTTAAAATATTGTGTTTCTGTTGATTTCCTTGAAAGCTTTTGTTGCAGGACATTAATGTATGTATAATATATTTGTATCTTATGTTATCTTATGATCTGTGTTATATTGTATTATGATTATCTTACAAGGAGAGCCTACGGCTTTGGGGTAACGGACTTTGATGATCTTTGGTGTAGAGGTAGTACACCATGTGAGTGTACTACCTGTAAAATACTAAAGTGCAATACTCAAATATAATCGAGAAAAACGAACTTAAAGTTTTTGAGCACTTTATATATAAATTATACGTGATTACATTCAAGCGTCCTGTGGCTGAGTGGTAACGATCCTGGGGACCTATTCTGAGTAGTATCGTTAAGCTAACGGATACGATAAAAACCAGTTTCTAGCAGAACCACGTGATTCGCGTTTAATCAACCGTGAAAATGCTATTCTGACCCGTACGTTTCGTTTTCGGTCCCGATAGCCACGTGTGATAACTGAGCTTTTGTTATCGGTCACTCTCAACCTGCCGTTAGGAACATAACGAAAGTCTAAACAACATGGCGTCGTTCGGTGTGAGAATGATATTACTTCGTGAACAATTGGAGAGAGAGGAAATTATAATTCGACGTCGTGAATCTCAATTTAATCTTCGAGCTGATGCTTTTCGGCTGAACGATACACGTTTTAAACAACTTTATCGTCTTCCGAAACCATTAGTTATATATGTATGTAATGCATTACGAGATACGCTAGAGCCAAAGTGTTTTAAGAAAAATGCTCTATCTGCAGAAATAAAAGTAAGTAGCTTTTTAACGTTAATAAACTAAGTTGTTGTATTGCTTAAAAATAATTACCTTAACTATTTATGAATAATTGCTTTTTTGTTCAAATTTAAAGTAAGTAGCTATAGCATGAACATTATTTCTGAAATAGGTTTCATTCGCATATGTATAAATTAAAATGATAGCTTTGAATATAAATATATAAAAGTTTCGTGAAGATTAGTATATGCAGGTTACACTTTTGAAGTGTAATTTTTAACAAGAATTTTGAATAAACATTATTTTTTATATATACAATGTAAGCTGCAGCTTTGAAGAAATTAACTTTATACACTATAGTTTGATAGATTAATTAATTAATATTAACATTTACTGTTTTCACTATATATAAAAGTATAAATTTTAAATTATAGTAACCAATTATAAAATATACTACACATAAGATACATTTTATAATGTATTTATAATTAAAGAGTAATAATCATTTAGCAAATTTTAAAATAAAATATGTATTCAGAGTAATATGGAATTAATTTTCTTTTATTTATAGAAAAATGAATGTATAAAATTATTGAGAATATATGAAAATTGTGTATAAGAGAATATGTTTCCCAAATAATGGCATTTTAAAGTCACATTAACATGGAGATTTTGTTTAATACAAAATTGTTGATGTTCATATAACAATATGAATTTGAATACACATATGCTTATAAAAATTTTTGTAGATAAGTTTTTGAAATAATATACAAGTATCTTGTATATTATAGTACCTTAATAAGTATACCTTATTAAGTACCTTGTATATCTGTGAGCTTCATTAGTTTTATTAAATTTGTTTTCTTGTAGGTATTATGCGCTCTTCGATTTTTTGCTTCTGGTTCTTATCAGATGCCAGTAGCACAAGACAGCACCTTAGAAATTAGCCAGCCATCAGTGAGCCGTTGCATAACAGCAGTAAGCAAGGCAATAAACATCATCCTTCTTCATCACTGGATAAAATTTCCAAGTTCTGAAACTGAGATGGCATTGGTCAAACAAAAATTTATGAGTTTAGGTGGCTTTCCGGGAGTGATAGGTGCTATTGATGGAACTCACATTCCTATAATTGCACCATCACTTAATGATCCCGNAGATACATAGGAGCAACAACAAGAATGCTCGCCTCCCGCCTTGCTGAGCATCAGGATGACGTAGCCAAAGGAAGATGTTCTACTGAGCTCGCTAAAAAAGTTCTCGAGCAAGGCTACAACCCATTATGGCCCAGAACGGAAATAATTAAATGCTGCAACAATCGAAGGCTTGTGTTTATCTGGGAAGCGCTTCTCACGGCTACTTCAGAAGCGTGCAATGTTCCCACCCTCGATCTACCCGGGGTGTGGATTGCCTTATATCAGCGCCTAAAAAGCGAAACGCGCCTAACATCGCATCGCCAATGCGGTAGCATTTCCACACATGCGCCGCTAACATCGTAAAATATAAAAATTCGAACATATCAAAAATTAGTTGCACGTTCTTAACGGAATTTCCGGACGCCTGTTTGAATTTAAATATTTTGTTCCTTTGGAACATCCTGCATGTTTGTCTAGTTAAAATTTGTTCTTTTCACCTGAAGACGACGATTATACATTCGTCGTGTTAATACTAAAGGAACTTTATTAACGCTGAACTCAGTGAATTTGTATCCATAAGTTAAACCTTCATATAATTTTAATTCTTCTAAATTGTAAAATATATAATTTTTAATGAAATTTATTAAATTATTTACTTTGTTTTAAAAGTTTTTTGAATTGAAGATAATATATGAGTTTTTATACTTTTATATTAGTTATTTATTCAAACTTAAGTTTATTACTGACAATTTTCAATACTTTTATATAAAGTTAGATGCATAAAATTATTGTTTATAAATTTATAGATTACAACTATTATGCTATAAGAAATATCTTGCTACAACTTCTATAAGAACACTATACAGGGTTTTTCAAAATTGTCTTTACAACTTTGTAGGAGAATAAAAATTTATTCAAAGATATACACAATATTTTTAAAAGCACAAATTTAGCTATGCAGATAAAGTTTCATTTACATAAACTTTTGCATTCAAAACTTCCATCATAGTGTGTTAAATCAATTTTCAGAATGGTGGATTGGTCAGGATGCACCAAATGCATGGCCACCTCATTCCCTAGATATAACAGCTTTAGATTTTTTCTTGTAGTGGATTTGTTAAAGATAAAGTATACATACAACCTTACCTGCATATGTGGCCAAACTTCAAACTCAAATTATTATTGCAGTTGCTCAAGTGACGCCAGAGATGCTTCACTGTATGGGAAGAAATTAACTACATCTGCTACACAACAAATGGAAATCACATTAAATCAAAAAATCTATGGACATAAAACTTAAAGTGTTTGATTACATTTCAATGTTTTAAATTATCTATTTCTTCTATCAGTCCACCAATATTTTGCCATCAAGTTGTAAAGCTATTTTTGAAACTCCCTGTACAAGCAAATAAACCAATAGAAACATTCTTCACCAGAAACTTTAATGATGAAGTGAGTTATTTCAAGTGTATTTTAACAAAAAATAGATAACACTTAATTTAACAAAAATACTATGGAAATCACATTGAATCAAACAATCTATGGACATAAACTTTGAAGTGTTTGATTACATTTCAATGTTTTAAATTATATCCTCAACTTTCAGATGTTTGATTTTCAGACAACTATCTCTTTTGTGTATGATAATTTGATATCTGTAAATTGCTTTCCATATACCAAATTTGCACTTCCTTACATTTTTCAGCCAAAAAAATACAAGTTTCAAGCTCTTATGTGGTGGCATTTTCTACTAGTTTTGATTTTGGTAACATCAAAACCATTTGTGAAAATTTTAATTTTTATTGTATACTTTGTTTAATCTATTACTTCAATGTTTTATGTATTGTAGCATATTCACTGTAAAAAAGTAAAAAATTTCCTATCTTCAGAGATTTTATAAGCTATCATTTTAGTTCTCTGGGAATCCCCTTTATAACATGTAACTATATTGCTTGACTTTCAGACATTTGACTATCATACATATTTTTGGAGCACATTATAACTAAACTTCAATCAATATCAAAAATAGTATTTGCAGAGTAATAACCCATTAAACTATCAAGAATGTCATAAAAAAATTTTGTTGCCAATAATTTGTTAGAAATTTTTCACATATGTTAAGAAATATAATTCAAGAGAATAACATCTAAACTCTATTACTATTTTTATATTTAGTAATAGTTTTTGGGCTGTATTTTTAAAGATGATGTACTTATTTTCTAAATAAAAAAGTTTAGTGAATAAGATTAAAACAGTTTAATTGTTTCTTCAAATTTATAATTTATTATTGTTATTGAATATAGGTTCATTTCCTTATAGAAGAACTTGATTTACCAACTAGTGACATTTATCGGAGTGATGAACAAGAGATCACACATAGTCAAAATAACTTTAATTCTTCAGTTGCCGGTCTGCAAAATGTGAACTCTGTTGAACAAAATTATTTAACAATCCAAGCAGTCATTCACTGAAACGATAATTCAACTGACATTATTTAAAATGTGCACATTCCATTTCATCATTGCTCAGACAAAGAAAAGGATTATTTCCTTCATTGCAAATTTCTGGTCCATCTCTTTAAATTTAAAAGAGAATAGTAAATAAGTTTATATAAAATAAATAGCATTCTATAATTTTAACAAATGTGCATGATACACATTTTTATTAATAAATAAGTTTTAAAATTCAGAAGCAGTAAAGTAAAATCACATATTTGTTCTAAATGAATCTGTATTTCGTTAAAATATTTATATTTTTATCGAATATATTTTATAACTTGTAAAATCTCAATGGATTGTACTTTTAAGTTTATTTTTGTTAAAGCTACAGAGTTTATTTTCAAATAAGTTTTTTCTTATTAATTATTCTTTTGCTCCATTAAGAAAGATATGAATAATTATATCCTGTATATAAATTTATTAATGCCGTTTATAAAAATCAGGGGTTATGAATCAATAATATATAAATTTACAATAATAAATAATTATAATATTTTATTATTATAA